GAGACTGTAAAACGTATACAGCAGCCTACAGTGCCACCTGCTGGCTCAAATGGAAAATGCAAAATAATAATTTTACATTTATATAACTAAAAAAAAAAACATTTTTTACCACTATGAATAAAGAATAAATATTTCTGGCAGTTATGCTAGGTATTTGCATGACACGTCACCAAAACTTTTGGCTAGCCTTCGCATGGCGAACTCACTTCATATATCAAACACTTACTGCTCTGCATCTATGCCGCAGCATTGTTACTATAGATTGTGTTCCTGGTTTGGACTACAAACACCTCCCCTCATCTCATCTGCATTGCACAAAGGGCTTTGTAGTTGGCAGAAGATTGCTGAAAAAGCTGAGAAATATTGTTTGAGATATCGGTACAGTTCACAGGTAATTACAAGGACATGATTCTTGGTAGGATCAAGAGGTACTTGTTCTGTAATTGTGGGGAAAAAAAACGAATGTAGCTACCGCATCTATGGACTTGTAAGCTGCAATATGTCACTTTTTTGTTCTTGAGTTTAGATATAACTGAAGTCTTCCCATAGACAATATTGGTAGTTCCTGCCCTCATCGACGTTCCAGGATGACATACATCTTTTCTGTGGACTAACTTGGGGAATAGGATGTAGATAAAAGGAAGAAAATTCCTGTGTGTCTATTTGGCAAAAAAAAAAAGAAACACCATATTAAAATAAGGAGAGTCATCCTAGCCTCTTGAACCATGGCACCCTATGCGGCACTGCCCGGTAGTCCTCCAGCAGACCGGTCAGAGAGCAGCAGCTCCCACAGAACAGATCTGTCTTTTATCAATGTACATTTTCCGTCCTTGTAAAAGGTTAAAGCCGCAATTCAGAAATCCTGCTGCAGCAACCCTACATCTCCGTCATGTCTTGGATCTGAGTTCATCCCACAAACATTTGGCAGCCGAGTTATATGTGGCATGTATCAGTGTAATAGCACACAGCTGTTTACTGGACAGAAGGCCTCTCTCTCTGTGAGTGTAATGCAATCTGCAGCAAGCCGTACCACGTTAAAAGACTAATCCCGTCATTAGCAATACTTGGCTGTAATGTTATCATACGGTGTACAATGAATTTTCCAAATGTATAGGCAGCACTGAGAGAGCAAAACACTTTTGGTAAGCAAGTTATACTTGCCTTAAAGCTGAATCCAGGGCACAAAAATGTGCATTTCAAGTTTTTTCGTAATAAAATAACAAGCATGTCATACCTACCTGCTCTGTGCAATGTTTTTGCACAGAGCAGCCCCAATCCTCCCCCAATCCTGGCCTCTCCCCCCCCGCCGAATGCCCCCATAGCAAGCCCCTTGCTATAGGGGCACTTGTGCGTGCTCACTCCCGAGTCTACACTGCCACACAGAGAGTGCGTCAGCCCCACCCTCCGCTCCCTCCTCACTGGTTATGATTGACAGCAGCAGGAGCCAATGATTCCCACTGCTGTCTCTGAGACAATCAAGAGGCTGAGAACCAAGAGAGCCTCTTCTCTCATGCACATCACTGATCAAGCTCAGGTAAGTATAAGAGGGGGCTGGAGGGGGGGGAGTCGCATACTGAAGGTTTTTTACCTTAATGTATACAATGCATTAACCGCTTCCCCTCCGCCCTATAGCAGAAATACTGATACGGGACGGGTGTGCAAAATCACATTCCTCTGGATCAACTGTCAGTATAGGATAACTTTTTTTTTTTTTCCTATGGTTGAACTGGATGGACGTTTGTCTTTTTTTCAGCCAGACTAACTATATAAATGTGATTTTGCAGTTCCAGGTAGGGGGCGCACATTCCGCCATTCATGGCCTCAGCTGTCAATCACTGGGTGTCGGTTGGTGATTACTCCCCAGCACCCAGTGATCACCAAGTATCTCCGATGGGGAAAGACCTGTATGTAAACAATTCAGATCTCTCCCCGTCAGCTCCTGCACACTGCTTTGTATGGCTCTGCAAAGCAGAGCCATACAAAGTAGTGTGCTTGCAGAGGAAAGTACATACACAGCACACAGTGAAACAGCACACAGTTAACCCTTTCATGCCCCACATGTTAACCCCTTCTTGCCCAGTGCTATCAGTACAGTGTCAGTGCTTTTTATTAGCACTGATCACTGTATTGGTGTCACTGAGCATGTCAGTGACACCAAGTCAGTTCCCCCCCAATGTCAGAATTCCTGCCAGAGTCCCGTTATAAGTCACTGATCACCGCCATTACTAGTAAAATAAATAAATAAAAATTCCAGTATATATACTGCCATTTGTAAACATTATAACTTTCTTGTAAACCAATTAATTTACACATATTGGGATTTTTTTTTAGCAAAGACATGTAGCAGAATACATTTTAACCTAAAATAATGAGGAAATTAGATTTTTCACATTTTTTTATTGGACGAGTTTAATAGCAAAAAGTCAAAAATATTGTCGTCTTTTTCTCAAAAGTGTCAGTATTTTTTTGTTTATAGCGCAAAAAATGAACAACACACAGGCGATCAAATACCACCGAAAGAAAGTTCTTTTTGTGGGAAAAAAGGACGTAAATTTCATTTGGGTGCGGTGTTGCATGACCGCACAATTGTCAGTTAAAGTAACGCAGCACCGTATCGCAAAAAATGGCCTTGCCAAGAAGTGGGGTAAATCCACTGGAGGGCAAGTGGTTAAGGTAGAAAAAGCCTTCAAGGGATACTAAAGGTTTACATTAAAAATAAATAAATAACATGTTCTACTTACCTGCAGTGGTTTTGCACAGAGCAGCCCGGATCCTACTCTTAGCGCTCCTGGCCGCTATCTCCTGCTGGGTGACCCCACAAAAAGCAGCTTGCTATGGAGGCACCACGCAGGGACATAAGCAAGCTGCTGCTCCATGTGTCCATTCACACATGGAGCCGCGTCTCAGCCCTGTCCCCTCTCTCTTCTCATTGGCTCACCGGCTGTGATTGACAGCAGCAGGAGCCGATGACTCCCGCTGCAGTCTCAGCCAATGAGGAGAGGGAAACCCAGGTTAGCAGAAACTCCAGTGCACAGTGCTGGATCGAGAGGGGGCTTAGGTGAGTATTAGCAGGGGGCTGGGGGGGATGCTGCACAGAAAAGGTTTTTTACCTTCATGCGTAGAATGGATGAAAGGTAAAAAACTTTGAGCCTTTACAACCACTTTCACCCTTTAAAACCATTTTTAATATATTCCTCAGTAGCCACAAATAATATACAGTACATCTAGGTTGCATGTACAAAATGCCTTTGTACACCCAGTTATTACCTTGTAAACATAGCAGTGACATCATCACTGTGCTGTACATGGCCTGTGCAGAAAGGAGTGACCCAGCAGGCGCCACCCACTACAGGCTTCCTGCAGAAACTACAGGAGGGGGCGGAGACAAGACCAGTCACCCAGCACAAGGAGAGAGAACAGCAGTGACTGGTCTTTTTTACAGGAACCTCCTGCACAGATCTGGAAGAATTACTCAACGCACACCAAGATTCCAGTAAGAATACTCACATCTCTTGTATTTTGACAATATGTACTTATTCTCTCAGATCTCTAGTACACTCTTTGGCACAGAAGCCTTCTTCTAAGACGCTCCAGACAGGCAGCCATGTTCCTGTTCTGCTCCCTCTTAATGTACCCTCCAGCATGGCATCTAAAATCGCTGAGGCCTCAAACACAAACCCTGATGATTTTTAAATGTAATGCCATGAGGCATGCTAACATGGGTGTCTGCTCCCCATGTGCACTCTCAGGCAAGCTTTGATTTTTTAATCATTGCCGCTATAACAATTCATTTATTAATTATTTATTATTATATATATTTTTAAACTCAATGCCCTCAGGGATGCTAATATGGATATCTGATCCCCATTTGTATTCTTTGACAGTTTTTTATTTTATTCATGGCTGCTATAACAGGTTCCATGGGCTTTGTGCGGCTTACCCGAGAGTGTTAATGTCCCGAGAGCTGCCTCCACAAACGGCTTTAGAGTGCTTGTACCCAGTGAAGTGGCTGACACAGAGATGAAACAAATCCTCCTACATAAGTTGTACCTGTTTATCTGTAGTCTTCTCTTTTCTACATCCTTTCAAAGTGCTGAATTTATAAAGCTTGTCTGAGAGTTCAAAAAAAAAAGGGGGTATTCTGAGAGCTGATTGGAGGGAAGAGACACACTCCCTTCCACACAACTCACAGGGATGCTAATATGGATATCTGATCCCCATTTGTATTCTTCATCAGTTTTTTATTTTGTTCCTGGTTGATATAACAGATTCCATGGGCGCTGTGCGGCTTACCCTGAGAGCGTTCATGTTCTGAGAACTGCCTCTACAAACGGCTTTAGAGTGCTTGTAAACCATGACATATACCCAGTGAAGTGGCTGAAAAGCAACCCCACATCATAATCCCCCTCCACCAAACTTTACACTTGGCACAATGCAGCCAGGCAAGTATTGTTCTCCTGGAAACCACCAAACCCAGACACATCTATCAGAATGCCAGACAGTGAAGCATAATTCGTCACTCCAGAGAACACGTTTCCAATGTTCTAGAGTCCAGTGGCGGTGTGCTTTACACCACTGCATCTGACGCTTTGCATTGCACTGGGTGATGTAAGGCTTGGATGCAGCTGCTCGGCCATGGAAACCCATTCCATGAAGCTCTCTATGCACTGTTGTTGTGCTAGTCTGAAGGACACACGAAGTTTGGAGGTCTTTGGCTATTAGCTCTTCAAACAGTTGGTGACTTCTGCCCACTGTGTGCTTCAGCATGCACTCACCACGTTCTGTCATTTTACGTGACCTACCACTTCATGGCTGAGTTGCTGTAGTTCCCAGTTGCTTCCACTTTGTTGTAATACCACTAACAGTTGACCGTGGAATATTTAGTAGCCAGGAAATGTCACGGATGGACTTATTGCACAGGTGACAACCTATCATGGTACCACGCTTGAATCCACTGAGCTCCTGAGAGCGACCCATTCTTTCACAAATGTTTGTAGAAGCAGTCTGTATGTCTAGGTGCTTGATTTTATATACCTGTGGCCATGGAGGTGATTGGAACACCTGAATCCAATGATTTGGAGGGGTGTGTCCCAATACTTTTGGCAATATAGTATATCTGCAAACTTCTGTCTAATGCAGGCCATAGATGGGTCGAAAATCGGCCGATTTTTCGGCCGAAAATAAAATCGGCCGATTTTCGGATCGTTAGTGGGCTATTTGTTCGGCCGTTTTTTGGGATTTTGGCCGTTTTTTTTTTTTTGGTAAAGTTGGAAAAAAATCGGCCGATCGGCATTCGGCATTCGCGGCATTAATGGGCTAATCGGCCGATTTTTTACCGATAAAAAATCTGCGCATGAGCAGTGACCTGCAAGAGGAAGACAAAAAGAAGAAAAAGAAGAAGAGGAAGAGGATGAAGAAGAGGATGAAGAAGAAGAAGAGGAAGAAGAAGAGGATGAAGAAGAAGAAGAGGATGAGGAAGAAGAAGAAGATGAGGATGAGGATGAAGAAGAGATGAGGATGAGAAGAAGAGGATGAGGATGAGGATGAGAAGAAGAGGATGAGGATGAGGATGAAGAAGAAGAGGATGATGATGAAGAAGAAGAAGAGGATGATGATGATGAAGAAGAAGAGGATGAGGATGATGATGAAGAAGAGATGAAGAAGAAGAAGAAGAAGAAGAGGATGAGGATGAAGAAGAAGAGGATGAGGAAGAAGAAGAAGAGGATGAGGATGAAGAAGAAGAAGATGAGGATGAAGAAGAAGAGGATGAGGACGAAGAAGAAGAAGAGGATGAGGACGAATAATAAGAAGAAGAGGATGAGGATGAAGAGGAAGAAGAGGATGAGGATGAAGAAGAGGATGAGGATGATGAAGAAGAAGAGGATGAGGATGATGAAGAAGAAGAAGAAGAGAAGAGGATGAGGATGAAGAAGAAGAAGAAGAAGAGGATGAGGATGAAGAAGAAGAAGAGGATGAGGATGAAGAAGAAGAAGAAGAAGAAGAAGAGGATGAGGAAGAAGAAGAAGAAGAAGAAGAAGAAGAAGAGGATGAGGATGAAGAAGAAGAAGAAGAAGAGGACGAGGATGAAGAAGAAGAGGATGAAGAAGAAGAAGAAGAAGAGGATGAGGATGATGAAGAAGAAGAAGAGGATGAGGATGAAAAAGAAGAAGAAGAGGATGAAAAAATAAGAGGAATTCCAGTCCAGCAAAAAGTGTCTCTGCAGAGAGCTCCGCTATTTCTTTGACAGTTCTCTGACAGTTCCTTGACATTTACAGCGGTTGCAACATTGTATCTATTTGTTTCCGAATAAAAACATCTGTATCCTAAATGGAAACAAATAGATACAATGTTGCACCCGCTGTAAATGTCAAGGAACTGTCAGAGAACTGTCAGAAATAGCAGAGCTCTCTGCAGGGACACTTTTTGCCGGCTGTAGACGGGATGAAAATCGGCCGATTTTTTTTACCATTGGTGGTAACGTCGGCCACTTGAACGACCGATTGTTCGTTTTTTTAAAAGAAAAATCGGCCGATTTTCGACCCATCTATGGCCTGCATAAGACTGACTTCTGTTTTTATTTAAACATAGAGCTGTGAGTATTTTCTTCTTTGCTATGTATCAGAGTGGGGTCCTAGAGAAATGTGGTATTGTTTATACATAAAATTAAATTTTATAAAAGTGGAATTATTTTTTTTTTAAACCTAATATTTTTTAAATATATATTCACACTGAAATTTTGTTAGCTGGATTTAATTGCCTCTCAGAATCAGTCATTAATGGGTATTTGTGGTATGTGCAGTAGTCTGTCCTCTTGAAGTCTGTTTTTGTACTTGTTCCTATAGGTAAGCCCATTATAAGGCTTACCTGTAGATACTGTAAATATCTCCTAATCCTGCACCATTTAGAAGATATCTACTTGTGTAGCAGCAATGAAGGAACGGCATGCCTTTAGAGACGTGTGCCATAAAAAGTGACTCCTGCGCACATGCGTGGGAGTGACATCATCGCGGCTTGGCCATTCAAGCTGCCTGAGCCTGGGAACTGGGAAGAAGGACCGGGTGAAGATGGAAGCCCTGTCATCGATGACAGCGTGCCACTGGAGGGCTTCATTTTAAGGTAAGTTTCACATAATGTGCTAGTATGCCATCCATACTACACATTATGACATTACCTCGCAGGGGAAAAGGTTTTTTTTTTTTAATTAGCGGGTTTACTACACTTTATAGTTTTAGAATACTTCAGCCTTACTTCTCCTGGATTACTCGATTATTCTCACAACAGAAGTTTAGACTGCGTGTCGCCTATCAAGCTGTCTTATCTCCTGCCTGAGTTTTGTGCTGATAACTGACAGTCAAAAAAAAACTGTCATATATAACAAAGTCTGTGAGGATCACACAAAAAATTGCAAGGCTGCTTACCTGACAGTTTACTCTCTTTCAGCAACCCAAACCATGTAATGTATCAGTCCTGAGCTCAATACGGAGACACAACAGTGACCCTTACAGCAGACATTTCTGTTCTGACAGGGAGAGAATAGAAGTGATAAACAGTGCACTCACACTTGGAGGATTTTTCAATAAAAACCCTAAATAGGCCCCCACTTCCTTCTTTCTAGCATGTCTCCTCGCCAGGGCTGCCGATAAGGGGGTACCAGCAGTCCTACTGTGCTGGGCCCAGGCCCCATCAGTTCAGCAGGGGGGCCCAGGCAGCAGAATAAATCAGATGGATCATGGACAGGAGGGGTGATCATTGTGATGGGGGCACATACAGAAACCAATCCCCTGTGTGCTGCCAGCCTCCTCTCCTCTCCTCTCCATCCTGCCGGCTCTCAGTTGGTGCAGGGGGATCTGTTCTAGTAAATGCCCCCTCCCCCAGCCACCCCCTCCTGTAGATGATCTTCCCCCTGTTGGTGGGACCACCTGTGTACCCCTTCAGCAATTTTTCCGGCTTCCTCTCCCTCCCACCGGCTGCTGCAGGGCTTGGAAGATCTCTTCATGATAGAGAGTGAGGAGGGGGCCAGTAAATATGTTCTTTCCTTCCCTGACTGAATACAGTGAGTGCTCAGTACCGATCACTCATTGTGTTCATTGATAACCGAAGAATATGAACCGCCTCCCGCCCGCCATATAAGGAAATGACGGGCGCAAGGCGGTTCTCTCATTCTTGGAGGACGTCATATGGACAGGGTTTTGCAGCGCGTCGATCGGTGGTGTGCTGTATCCCTGAGACAAAGTGGATCACCGATCAGCGCAAAGAGCCGATGACTTCGGCTCTGTCATGTGATCAGCTGTGTCCAATCACAGCTGATCGCATGTAAATAAGGAAATACCGGTTTTGGCATTTCTCTCCTCACAAGCTGTCACGCTGACAGCTCGAGAGGAGAGGAGAGCCAGTAATTGGCATTCCTCAGAGGGGATGTCTACACTGATCATCAGGGCACTGATGATCAGTGTAGCCCCATCATTGCCACCTGTCAGCATCCATCAATGCCACCTGTCAGTGCCCATCAGTGCACATCAATGCCACATATCAAGGCCCATCTGAGCTGCCTTTCAGTGCCACCTATCAGTGCCAGAAAGCGCCACCTATCGGTGTCAGTCAGTGCCGCCTATGAGTGCTGCCAATCAGTGCCGCCTATCAGTGCCCATCAGTGCCTCCTATCAGTGCCCGTCAGTGCCACCTAACAGTGCCAGTCAGTGACGCCTATCAGTGCCATATATGAGTACTGCCTTTCAGTGCCCATCAGTGATGTCTGTGAATGTCCACCAGTGATGCCTGTCAATGCCCATTAGTGCCGACTACCAATGCCTCCTCATCAGTGCCCATCAGTGCAGCCTCATTAGCGCACATCAGTGAAGGAGAAAAATTACTCATTTACAACAGTTTATAACAGAAACTAAGAAAAAAAACTTTTTTTTCCAAAATTTTCAGTTGTTTTTGGTTTGTTTATCAAAAAATAAAAAACCCAATGGTGATTAAATACTACCAAAAGAAAGCTCTATCTGTCTCAAAAAAGGATAAAAATTTCATATGGGTACAGTGTTGCATGACCGCGCAAGGGGTTAAACTGTGTTTACTATGCTTCAGTTTATGAATGAAAAGGAGCCTCTGTTCATACATCTAAAGTGCATTTGAGGCTGCAGAGAAAGGATTGAGGATCTACACTCTCAATCCCGTTCGCTTTCTCAAAAGTGAGATATCAGGGGTCAGTTTGGAACCCTGATATTTCATCCAGCCCCCACACTGACAACTCATGGGGCCCCGGGCAATAGGGGATCATGGGGCCCCTGCGTCCTTGCCCAAACTCAAAAAAGCCTATGAAAAAGGTACCAGGGGCATCTCATGTGGTCCCCTACTGATCCTGGGCCCTCGGGCAGTGCCCGAGTTTCCAAATGGTCAGTCCGCCCCTGCCCCCACAGCATTGTGAAAAAAATAATGTAAACATTGTAAAAAAAAAAAAGTAAAATGTAAAAAAATTAAAATTGTAAATTAAAATTGTAATTAAAAAAAAAAAAACTGTAAAAAATAATTTTAAAAAATTGTACAAAACAATTTGAAAACTTAAAGTGATATTGGAGGCAAGTTTAAAAAGAGAAAAAACATGTTATACTTACCTGCACTGTGCAGTGGTTTTGCACACAGCAGCCTGATTTTCCTCTTCTTGGGTCCCCTGCCAGCATTCCTGGCACCTCCCTCCTGCCAAGTGCCCCCAGAGAGAGCAGCTTTCTATGGGGATACCCGAGCAGGCTCGCTCGTGAGCCATTGCCCTGTGTGTTCATTCATACACAGAGCCATGTCTCGGCCCTGCCCCCTCTCTCTCCTCATTAGGTCACTGGCTGTCTCAAACAATGTCAGAGTCCCCAGAGAGTGGAATACTGAGATTGAGCTCTGCAGTCACTTTGCAGCAGTTGTTTTCTTATTTCAGGTCATAATCCTGCATAATGTCCTTTTGTCTCTTTCAGTCAGTTGACCATGTCAACGTTTTCCTGGAAACTACAAATTTTTTTCACGCAAATACAGTTTTATTTTGTTGGTGTTTAATCACCAATTAGATTTTTTTTTTATTTTTTTTTGTTATATAAATGAAAAAAAAAATACTGAACATTTTGGAGAAAAGAAAAAAAATGTCTAAACAGTTTTGCAAACAAATAATCTTTCTTCATAAATATAGGCCAAAATGTATTCTGCTACATTTGTTTGGTGAAAAAAACCCAAATCAGTGTATAATATTTAGTCTGTGTGAAACTTATGGCCGATCTCATTTCTTGAGGCCCTAGAATGCCAGGACAGTACAAATAACCCCCCAAATGATAGTCTTAGGTATTCACTATGGAGCACAGCGAGTTTTTTTGAAGTTGTATTTTTTGTTACAATGTTTTGGAAAATGAAGAAATTAAATAAAATGTGTTTTTTTGCACAAATTATTTTTACATACTGTCACTAGGGCAGTACTGCGTCATCATATGATTGATGTGGTGTGGTCAGAGATACTTACTGGTGACAGTATGCTTTTCTTTTTTTTTCTTACAATTTTCTCTTTACATACTGTCGTCGGAGTAGTTCAGTGTCACCATAATGACACTGTACTATGGGGGTAAGGTCATCAGGGATTTTTTTTTCTTACACTGATTGCTTGTTACAGTGATGGCCACTGTAACAGCAATAGTTTGAACTGTCATGAATGGCTTTCATTCATGACTCATTGTTTACTATTGTGATGCTGTGATTGGACCACCACTATCACATGGTACAGGGTGATATGATTGTCCCAGGTACCATGTGATCACTTGTGACCAATCACAGATCACACACAGTAGAAAACAATGATATCATGAATGGATTCCATTCATGACTCTTGATTACTGACACCACATCTCACAGAAATTATTTGGTATCTGGGCCGTTCACAGTTGCCCGATATTGAGCACCTCAGTTTGAGCAGCTGCACGCCCCAGGGGAAGCATGTAGTGCGCATGAGCACCGCGATGTACTGGTACATCGCAGAACCTGGGGCAGCCACCGCCCAGCAGTAAAATTACTGATGGCCAGTCAGCAAGAATACATCGTTAATGTATTTTTTAAATTCAAGTGGAGTAAATACTAGAATTGGACCAAGTAGCCTCTTGCAGTATACTGTATAGGAGCTGGAGTTTGAGAGGAAGAAGCAGCACAAGGAACCAATCAGTTCATCTGCTGCATGCTTATAGAGGGAGAAAGCAGAGTAACAAGAAGACAAGCTCATTACATTGCTGCTTCTCATTTCACGATCTGGTAAGAAACAGGGAAGAGTCCAGCATGACATGGGCTCAGAGGAAGTGATTTAAATGATTTAGGCCATCAGGCAAAAAGTCAGTGGCAAAAAAAGCACTGCAAGGAAAATCTTTGGCTTGAATCTGAGTATTGCAGCAAAAGCTAGTTTTGTTATTCTATCTTTTAATTGGCAATTCATTTTTATCTTCATTTTTGGCTGGAGTTCTGTTTTAGAAATATTATTCAAAAAAGAAGTCTTACAGAATTTAAGCACATTTCTCACTGCTTTAGCTGCATTGCTATCTGCATAAAACTTAGAATTGCATTAAACTTTTTTACTTCTATCTGCAGATTAATTATACTTAAAAAAAAAGTGAAAAGATCGATAACTCCAATCAGAATCCAGCTGTCATTTTTCGTGCAGTTAAAAATCTGAAGGTAGCATCTGGATGTAACAGACAAAACCCCCTCTTCTCCTATCAAATCTGCCCTGATCTGTCTCAGAAAACGTATACAGCTGCTGGAAACTTTTGGAACGTATTGCGGGTGTCACTCTGACAGGTTCCGCTGCCTACTCCATGTGTCTTTTTAGTACAAAGACTCTCAGTGGTTTCAGACTTTCAGCTTGTTTCAGCGGCAGATGGCTGTTAAGGTTTTGACAGCATGCCACTTGCTTCTGCCATTTCTTCTTTATTATGGCAACAAATAAGTAGAATTAAATCTGACTTAATATTGTAGATAGCATGAAGCAAATTATCACCATATAAACATTCCACTCATTTGCTGACCTTGTCGGCTATAATGAGACTGCATGTTCGTTGTGTAACAAACACCAACCACATTGTCTGTCTACGTATTCGTCTGGCCATTCTGTTATCATTTCAGGATTGTATAACAGGTAAAAAAAAAACATTATTTAATAAAGTGGAACTCTGGTCATACCACTAAATGCATATATATTGCATATATATATATATATATATATATATATATATATATATAGTGCCTTGAAAAAGTATTCATGACCCATTGATTTTTTTCCACAGTTTGTCATGTTACAACCAAAAACGTAAATGTATTTTATTGGGATTTTATGTGATACACCAACACAAAGTGGTACATAATTGTGAAGTGGAAGAACACTGATAAATGGTTTTCAAATTTTTTTTCAAATAAATATCTAAAAAGTGTGGCGTGCATTTGTATTCAGCCCCTCGGAGTCAATACTTTGTAGAACCTCCTTTCATTGCAGTTACAGCTGAAAGTAATTTTGGAGATGTTTCTACCAGCTTTTCACATCTAGAGAGCGACATTTTTGCCCATTGTTCTTTTGCAAAGTAGCTCAAGCTCTGTCAGATTGGATGGAGAGCGTCCGTGAACGTCTGTGAGCGTGAGCGTCTAAGTCTTGCCATAGATTGTCAGTTGGATTTAGGTCTGGACTTTGCCTGGACCATTCTAACACATGAATATGCTTTGATCTAAACCATTCCATTGTAGCTCTGGCTGTATGTTTAGGGTTGTTGTCCTGCTGGAAGGTGAACCTCCACCCCAGTCTCAAGTATTTTGCAGACACAAACAGGTTTTCTTCTAAGATTGCCCTATATTTGGCTCCATTCATCTTCCCATCAACTGTGACCAGCTTCCCTGTCCCTGCTGAAGAAAAGCTTCCCCACAACATGATGCTGCCACCACCATGTTTCACGGTGGGGATGGTGTGTTCAGGGTGATATGCATTGTTGGTTTTCTGCTACACATAGTGTTTTGCTTTTAGGCCAAAAAGTTCAATTTTGGTCTCATCTGACCAGGGCACCTTTTTCCACATGTTTGCTGTTTCCTCCACATGGCTTCTCAAAAACTGCAAATAGGACTTCTTATGACTTTCCTTCAACAATGGCTTTCTTCTACCCCACTCTTCCACAAAGGCCAGATTTGTGGAGTGCACAACTAATAGTTGTCCTGTGGACAGATTCTCCCATCTGAGCTGTGAATCTCTGCAGCTCCTCCAGAGTCACCATGGGCCTCTTGGCTACTTCTCTGATTAATGCTCTCCTTGCCCGGCCTGTCAGTTTAGGTGGACGGCCATGTCTTGGTAAGTTGGCAGTTGTGCCATACTCTTTCCATTTTTGGATGATGGATTGAACAGTGCTGAGATGTTCAAAAGCTGGTATTTTTTTTATAACCTAACCCTGCTTTAAACCTTTCCACAACTTTATCCCTGACCTGTCTGGTGTGTTCCTTGGCCTTCATGATGCTGTTTGTTCACTAATGTTCTCTAACAAACCTCTGAGGGCTTCACAGAACAGCTGTATTTATACTTTGATCAAATTACAAACAGGTGGACTCTATTTACTAATTAGGTGACTTCTGAAGGCAATTGGTTCCACTAGATTTTAGTTAGGGGTATCAGCGTAAAGGGGGCTGAATACAAATGTACGCCACACTTTTCAGATATTTATTTGTAAAAAAAATTTTTAAACCATTTATCATCTTCTTTCCACTTCACAATTATGTGCCACTTTGTGTTGGTCTATCACATAAAATCCCAATAAAATACATTTACATTTTTGGTTGTAACATGGCAAAATGTCTGTGCTTGGACAGAACCGCAGAGAGAGAGTGGAGGAGGGAGGAAGAGCTGGAAACCGTTGATTGCTGGCAAGCTGGACTGGCAACCTAGCAAACGGGCAGACAGATTGGAGTGCTGTCATCTGGCATAATCTGTGGGGGAGGAATCCAGAGAAAACAAAGGCCCCCATCTGCAGAGAGACCATCCGCAACCTGATCTCAGCCATGGATCGGGTGAGAGAGCTCCATACCCCAAATTATCTAAGTTACAAAATACATAGCTAAACTCAGTTACTCTTTTCTCAGCTTAGTATTTTAGTAAACTTTATGCTACAAGTTGCAAGTGTTTTGGCCTAGACTGTTTGGCCCATCTAGCCTTGTGGCCTGCGAATCATCACCATCCTAATTCAGCAACAACTAAGGAAGAAGATTCTCTTACTTTATGTTCATCATTGGAGAACTCCTGCCCTTGCATCAAGAGAGATTTGAATCTTTATGCGCAGAAATTAGGGCCCCATCAAGCGTGCAG